TGTACAGGCGCTGGCCAACTTATACTATCAGTAAAATCCTGGGTCACATGTACTCACCTTAACATTTAAAAAAAAAACAAAAAAAAAAACAAAAAAAACAAGAAAAAATTCAGCTCCAACAATGCATAGAAGAACCTTTTGAATTCAGTTCAGAAAATCCCTATGTAAACAAGAAACTAAAAAACAAAAATACTATGAACAACTCTATAAAGAAACTTGAAACAATGAACACAGAAGATGATTACATTATAATGCAAAACAAAATAACATCAGATACAGAGATATCAACAAACAACAATAAACAAGAAATTTAATTAGAACATCAAACAGAATCAACTGAGGACAAGCCAAATATGGAACACAAAAACATACCAGTAGACTCACTTGCAAGTTTGTACAACAATGTATAGGCAAACAATACTGATTCTATAAATAAAGAAAATGAATAAGGTTTTACAGTAGTTTTCAGAAAAAAGCATAGAAATAAAAGCAGAATCACAATTCCAAAAATGGGAAGAACTACAGTCCTAGAGATATCAGCTCTTTATACAAAAGCCAGAGAACTGCAATAGGCATAACCTTAACTTCTACTTTTTAAATTATTTTTTAGTAGTTAAAAAAATCAAAATTGCATCACTAAATGTCAAAGGACTGAACAACAAAGAAAAAGCATACAAAACACTTATACTGTTAAAATCATATCACTTGGACATAATTATAATTCAGGAAACTAATTTAGAAAATATCTATACAAGAAACTTTTTAAAACAAATATAGGAGTTTGACTCTTACTGGACCTCCAAAACAGCAATACTTACAGGAAATCATGATATAAAACTGAAAAATATTAGAGAATCCCACCATGGATGAATAATATCAGCAAATCTCATATACAAACAATACTCTTTTTAATTAAACAACATATATGCTCCTTCAAACACAGAAGACAGAGTATGCTTTTTTAATAATTAGAACCTGCAACTTAATGAGGAACATATTAACATAGTAGCAGGAGACTTTAACACAAATCTGAATCCATAAAAAAATTGTATTAGGCATGCACCAATTGCTAATGATTCTTCAAGAAAATTACTAAAAGAAATTACTTCAGATCTGATTAATACAGCATTACTATTAAACAACCAGAAACCTTTTCTTACTTATTACCAGAACACAAGAAGAAATTGTAATATGACTACAAGGCTTGATTATATCTTTATTAATGCCAATTACAGCCAATACTGTAAATATACTATCACACAGTTTGGCAACTCTGATTATCTAATGATAGAATGTGAACTAAACTTCACATCTGAGTTACCTAGAGCCAAACAATGAGATTCAACAGAAATTGCTAGAATAATAAACAATTAAAAACAGAAGTAGTCAAGGAGATAAAGAACTTTGCAAACTTCTCAAAATGAGATTTATCTAAATACAGAATACAATCAATAATCAGAGCCTTTAGACCTTCTTCTGCATTAGAGAAGAAAATACAAAAGCTCCAAAAAGAACTAACTAAACTAAACAACAAATTGGCTGAGGAAGAAAGCTCAGAGTATCTTTTTAAAGCAAAAGAAAGCCTTAGTATACAACTTCAGGATAAGCTTCATACTTTTTCTGAAAAATGGCAACTTAGATCCAATGCTAAATGGATAGAAGAAAGAGAAAAATTAACAAAATTTTTTTTCACACAATACAAAATTAAAAATACATCATCAGCAAAAGATAAAATTTCTCCACCAAACAATTTCAAACCAGACAATATTAACAGAACAGTTCAATATATAAGAAATACTTACTAAGATATACAAAGCCAAGAAAATTAGTCAAGATGAAGCTGATTTTTTTATCCAGAATCTTACTCCTATTACAATAACACAAAACATATTACTTAAAAGACACATTACAGAAAATGAAGTCAAAAGTGTATTGATCTCTCTTTCTAACAACAAGGCTTCAGGTTCAGATGGCCTTAGCTACAAGTTTTATAAAAATATTCAAGAAGAGGTTATTTTTGCACTTATAGGTCTTTTTAACTATTGTTAGAAAACAGGCACTATCTCTAAATCATGGTCCAAAAGCATAATCATACTTATTTCTAAAAAAGCAAAGAACCTAAGTAATGTTAATAACTGGAGGCCTATTTTACTAACTAATAGTATGCTAAAATTTTTATGAAAATCTTGGCTAATAGGGTTAACAAAATTTGTAACTCAATTATTGATCTATCACAACAAGTATTTATAAAAGAATGCTCGATAGTAGATACAGCTTTAGATATAATTACTACTCTGAAGAATCAAGAAAACCAATCTCTCTTATACTGGCTTATACTACTAGATTAACAAAAGGAATTTGATAGATGAGTCACAAGTTTATTATACAAGTACTGAAAAAAATAAACTTTGATAACAGCTTTATCAAAATTGTAAATACACTTTTTAGCTTACAGATAGCACATATCGCAGATTCAGGAAGATTGTCTGAGCCTATAAGGGTGGAAAGAGAAGTTTGGCAAGAGGACCCACTATCACTTTTACTATATGTTCTTACTTTTAACCCTTTAATTTTTAAACTTCAAGAAGAGATTCAAGGAATCAAGCTTAGAAATCAACTTTTTAAGGTGGTAGCTTATGCAGATAACTTAATTATTAGAATTGGATTATCTACAGACTGGAGTAAAGTCTTAACACTATTTGAAAAGTATGAAAAAGCAACTAATACCAAGATAAACCAAGACAAATCTATTATAATTCCTCTTACAAGCATGACATGTAGTAAGAAACTACTCAATTAACAAAATTTTAAAATAGCCAGCAATGATAATTTGCTCAGAATTTTAGGATATGAAGTTAACTCAAGAGGCAACCCCAAAAAATAATTATGGAAAGAACTAACAGATAGTATTAAGCACAAGATTAAAAATCTTAAACTGAGAAATCTCTCTTTTAAGGAAAAAATTCTAATTGCCAAAGCACTATTAATTTCTAAAATCTGGTACTTGGCATATTTGCTTTTTTTAAGCAGAAAGCAGCTCAACAAAATTAATATTCTTATTTCAGGATGGATCAAGAACAAGTCAAAAATGTTACCTAAATACTCAACATTTTAGCTAAATCTTGAAAAAGAAGGATTGGTAGCTTTGGTTCTTAAGAACATTTTAGACTTTAGGCTTACTTTTATCTAAATTAAATTGCTAATATCCAATAACCTTTGGGCAAAGCATGAAAGAATTGCAATCTCTCAACAGTTACAAAATAAAAGAAAAATAACAATTTTAGAAGCACTGAATCAAAGTACAATAAAACTAAAAAGTTGACCAGATGCTTGAAAGCCTTATTTAACAGCTTGGAAGAGACTAGAGAGCAAAGTTATTACAAGCAACAACTGGTCATGGTCATTATCAAAGCTAGAAATATTGAATAAGTTAGAAGATTAATTCTTAGTCAAGAAAGCAACAGAGTTTTTAAGAATATGAGCAATAAAGCCAACAGCCTCTCAATCACCATTAGAAGTACAAGAACACTCAATAGATTACTTCAACTGATTATTTACTAAAGAAATTCAAAATAAGAAAAAAGATATATTTTAGAGGTTGCAAAACAGAGCCCTTTTACTTGGCTATCAGTTGGTACATATTAATTCAAATATAAATGAAAGCTGTTTTAACTGTAAAGATAAGAAACAAACTATAGAACACTTCACTCTAGACTGTAAAATTAGTAAAATTATATGGACCTATAGCTACAAGCTTCTAAATGTTTCATTAGAAGAAGCCCCTCCTACTACAATGGAAGAAATTTTTACTATGCCTAATATCTCAAATATACAGCTATAAAAAACAGCCTTATGGTTATACTTAACAGTTATATATAAAATCTGACTATGGTATATTTAAGCAAGATGGGAAAATACTGTCGATTCTAAAGAAAAAATTAGGAGAGTAATAGAAATTAGGTTAAAGAAACATGTTAAAATTTTAAGCATATTGCATAAAAAAAGAAAGCTAAAAATAGCTAGATTCATTAAAGAAATCTAAGCTTTATATATGTAAATAATATAATGTATTTCTAGTATAACCTAATAAAAGCATGCCAATCAATTCATGTTAAAAAAAAAAAAAAAAAACATTATCAAGATCTGTTAGGCAAGAGAAAAAAAGCAAACTGATTCAAAATAATAGAACAAAAAGTGCTTAGCAAGGCAGAAGTAGAGAGGTCAAACAACACCTCAAGACAAATAGACAAAATATATAAGCAATGCAAGTTAAATAGAAGATATATCAGAGGATAAGAGAAAAAAAAAATAGATAATATATAGTGTACAAAACTATAGGCAGCTGAAGAAAATAATCAAAAAAAAGAAGAAAAAATTACTAGTAAAACATTGACAAATGCAAAGTAGAGAAGACAAATTATCTGTTGAAATTAAAAGATATAAAGGCTGTACTAGAACAGAAAAGAGTACAGAAGATAACTGCCAACAGTAAATTAGAATAAACAACAAAATTAACAGGGTTTCAGATGTGTTAATAAAAAAGAATAGTAATAAAATTAATATAGCAATGAACTAGATAATAGAAATAGCAAAAACAAAACAACCAGAAACTGAAGAACAAGAACTCGAAGAAATTAGAACAATAGAGAAGTTAGAAATAGAAATTATCAAATAGCAAAAACTAGATAAGTACATCAATCAAAAAATAATAGAAGCTTTAAGAAGAAATATAACAAGAGACAAGAACAAGTATATAATATATACAGATGGTATAGCAAACATGAAGGCCAAAGAAGATACAGTAAATAAAAATAGAATAGGTATAGGATAGGTCCAGATGAGCAAATTACAAGAATGGCCAGAAGAGGAAATAGCAATAGGCTTAGAAGGATAACAAACATTAACAATAGCTGAGCTAGTAGCAATATGGGCAGCAATATTAATAATACCAAAAGAAAAGCAAGTAGAAATATATACAAACAGTAATGCAGTAATAAAAAACATTAAGAGAGGTTTAGAACAAATAGATAAAAACAAGATCCTTAAAAAGAAGAACACAATATAGATAATAAAAATTAGAAACCTTATTACAACAAAAAACATACAGGTAGAGTTAGTCAAAGTAAAGAGTCACAGTAAAAATAAATGAAATGGCAAAGCTGATTGCCTGGCAAAGAAAGAAGCAACAAGTAAGAAAATAATATAGGTTGAAGAAGTCAGTTGTAAAGAAATAAAGTACTGCTTAAAGTGGAAAAACAAATGAACTGACATACCAGCAAGATTATTATATAAACTAATAACAAATACAAGATTAAAAGCAGAATAGAGAGAAACAAGAGCAATTAAAGAATTAGAACCAGAATCAGAAGTTCGATATATGATTAGATATTTTTTGGAAAAGGCTAAAGATGACAAAAGAGGTACATTGTACAACAAGAAGAATTAGTGCCAGAAGAAGTGCATTTATAAAATATGTAATAGACAAACTTCTAACTCTAGAAGAACTTAACAAAAGAAGACCAGATGTGTAT